CAAGAAACAAGAAAGCGTAACTTGAACAAGGCTTAACAACGAAACGACGAGCTTTACCCTCTTAACCACTTCGGCAGGCTTACTAGTTACTCTCTATCTAAGGGGGAGGTCCGCCTCTCTTCGACGGAGTTAGCTCCCGCTAGTGCTTCCTCAGCGCGGACTGAGGCCTCCCCCTGACTCTCGGTATTTATACCCTGCCGAAGGGGTCAAAGCGGGCTTTTTTCCCGCCAACACCAAAATCCCGATCTACTCGATGTGACATAGTTCATTTATAAAATCGTGACGATGAGTTTCACTGCGGACTTTGCGCCCACAGAAGCATAAAACGCTTGCACAAAAATGCATCCCCTCAACGTTCAGCTAGTCACTTCCAGTGTTTAAATAATATAGTTCTTGAGCAAAAAACCATTGGACTAGAGATGAAAACCAAGAAAATGCGATTACCGGAAGTGGCGTGTGTCGCGCGCGGTCGCGCCATCGTCACGATTTTTCAAATGTCCTATAGCCCCGAGTAGCCGGCATGAAAGTTCTGAAAAACTGACTGAGAATAACTACGCTTGTGTTCTTACAAGTTTATCTCCATAAAATATAAAGATAATAAAGATTGTTACGCTCGTTGCTGTTGACACACGATAAACCTACTTTAGTCTGACTGATGGGCCACCCACCGATTTTAGCACAGAGAACATTTTGGGTTACGTACCTGCCCTATAGGGGCAGGTACGGCCTAACCTTTGAATAGCCTATCTATTCCAAGCCTATGCTAATACAATTGATTTCAGATTTTTGCTTGCTACACACATCTTGGAAAGATAGGATTCATTTTGAAAATGGGCATGAAGTTCTTGAATATTGTTTAAATACTAGCTGGCTTTCCCGGTCCAGCCCGGGCCACTGTTCACCTACACTGCGACCCCCCCCCCTCTTGTTTGCTACTTGGCTTTCCCGATCCAGCCCAGGTCATTGGTCACCTGCACTGCAAGTCCCCCCCCCCCCCTTCTTATATGTTGTGGATGACTTACCCTGGAACCCGCTTCGAAACCGCATCCTCGTGATCCTGAGGTGAAAATGAGCTTCACCGCCCTCCTTTACAGACTATGGTAAAATGCTTGATCAAACATGATAAGCCCCCAATTCCTTAGAAAAACGTAAACAAATCAATAAATCGATAGAAGGACCCAACGAATCGCTGCGAAAAGTAGCCTATCATCTGCGCAGGGGTCGAAAACATATGTGTGCAAAGTTTCAGCTGAATCTGTTGAGCGGTGCGCGTTTCTATAACGCACATACCCTCCAAACTGACAATTTTTGAGTTTTATATATATATAGATAATTACTGGCCAATTAAGTGCTATTTGTACTCACACATGTTGGCGTTATGTTGATATAAGCTAGAACGAGACGTTTGCTTGCATATAAAACGAGGGTTGCAGCTCTTACTCGCGGAGTACAAAGCAATCTTATATATAAAGCTGAATGTCTGTTTGTACGTATGTTCCGAATAGAAAATTCCATTTCTGAACCGATCCGGACCAAACTTGGCACACATACACTTCGGGCCCCGGCGCGTGTCATAGGCTACTTTTCGTCATCGATCGATATCGATTTTATCGATTTTTATCGATTTTTTTGCTGAGTTCACCTACGGGGCTGGGAGTTGGCACAGGGGGGTAATCGAGCATGGGGATTCCGAATACAATATTGGTTTTCAGGATTATCGATTACTTTTATCGATTTTATCGATTTTTTTGCAAAGTTTGAGCTGCGGGGCTGGGAGTTCGCACAGGGGGGTAATCGAGCATGGGGATTCCGAATACAATATTGGTTTTCGGGATTATCGATTACTTTTATCGATTTTATCGATTTTTTTGCAAAGTTTGAGCTGCGGGGCTGGGAGTTCGCACAGGGGGGTAATCGAGCATGGGGATTCCGAATACAATATTGGTTTTCGGGATTATCGATTACTTTTATCGATTTTATCGATTTTTTTGCAAAGTTTGAGCTAGGGGGCTGGGAGTTGGCACAGGGGGGTAATCGAGCATGCTGATCATCCCCAAGGGGGGTGATCAGCATGCTCGATTACCCCCTGTGCAAACTCCCAGCCCCGCAGGTCAAACTTTACAAAAAAATCGATAAAATCGATAAAAGTAATGGACGATCCTGAAAACTAATATTGTGTTCGTAATCAGCATGCTCGATTACCCCCCTGTGCAAAATCCCAGCCTCGCATGTCAAAATTCACAAAAAATCGATAAAATCAATAAAAGTAATCGATAATTCTGAAAACTGATATTGTATTCGGAATCCCCATGCTCACTTCCCCCCCTGTGCCAACTCCTAGCCCTGTAGGTGAACTCTGCAAAAAAATCGATAAAAATCGGTAAAATCGACATCGATCGATAACGAAAAGTGGACTGTGACACCCGCCGGGGCCCGAAGTGTATGTGTGCCAAGTTTGGTCCGGATACGGCGGAGCCGGGTAAGCCAGCTAGTAGGTTTCTAAGTAAAAGGAGACTCAGCAGTATATGTAGACTATACTTATATGGTTTCAGGATTGGTATACCTTACGGTATAGCCCATGAAAAGCAATGCGTATAGGCGATGTAAAGTAGACTTCTCAACGAACAATTTATAAATTTTTTTTGTTTCTTCAATCGAATGATAAGTCAGCAATTATGTGATACTATCTCCACAATTTGGAATAAATTGTAAAATACAGATCATCTTCTTTTGTGTCTTGTGGAGTGACGGGGTTGATATTGTTAGTCTTTGATCGTTGAGAATGCGACATGATAGACATAATAATGATTGAAGAAATCAATGTGTAAAATGGCAAGATCTGAAACGCTTGGTTGTTTCCATTCGCTAAACCTGGAAATGTTAAAACTCACATAGTTGAGTGAGAACAAAACTCGGAAAGTGGAGTAGCTAACTCTTTCTGACAGCATGCCGAGTAAAGCGCCGAAAATAGTAAAGAATGCGTAGCAGATGTTTTGGAAAATCGTAAGTGGTAGAAGCAACTTAATAACAGAGTAGTTTTCGCTAAATTGATAGGATGACCTCAGATCAAAACGTTTCCTGCAAAAGCTTTATGACTTCCGGGGCATGTGCAGTACAACCTACCTTCTGACTGCATTCTTGTTAGTAAAGTACAGCACTCCAAGGCCAATCAGAGTAGCCACGTTTAGTCCACACAAAGCAAAGGATACCCATGATATTCTCTCTATGGTAGGCTTAGTGGATGATAAACAAGATAATTTTACTCCTAAGTATAGTTCGCTTTGCAAAGTCCACATGGCAACGACGGATGCGATGATTATCTGCACATAGTCGCTTCAATTTTTGCCTTTTGCATTCAGGAAAACTTTGCTGAAGTCAGAAAAAAGAGAAAGAACGAAACTTTGAATAGTTCACCAAGTGCCGCACTGGAGATGATAGATAAGCTTCGGGAGACATGTGGGGGCGGAAAATCTTTGTTCAAAAGAGTTTTGAGATGTTTTTATTCTTATTCTTTTTGATATTCATTTCTAATTTAGATTTACCATGCGATCTTTAGTTCTATCTCTGGTTTTACCTACCAGCAAGGCATACCTTGTTGATCAACGATTTTGCGCCCGCATATGCCAGCCTCAAGAAATAGCCTGTGTAGATCGTATTTATGAGGAGAATGATTGATTTGACAAGTTTTTGTTCGCTTGCTTAAGGTTTGCCCCAGTCCACCCTAGAGCACCGTTAGAAGGTTCATCCTAGACAAACTTACCGAAATAATTGCGAAGCCGACTCCCAACCTTGCTCCAAATGTCATAGTCTTTGCATTTCCATAGCGCCACACTACGTTCGATTACAATTGCAAACTGTAACAGAGCGAAACAACGGATTATTGTTAGTGATGTTGTTACCTGTAGAAGAGCAAACGCAGCCATACAAAATGTGATCGTAAAACGTGCAACAAAGCAAGCGGTGGGCGGAACTCCAAAGTGACATAGATCGGATAATGTCATATAATGAAAAATCTGGTAAGCCTAAATCAAATACCATGTTTACTTCACTCGTCCACCAACACCTACACTTTTGGTTTTATCAAAAAAAGATCATGACCCAAACGTATTGTATCCTCTCTGGTTCAAAAAAAAATCGAGATTAACAGTATTTTAGTGTTGCAAAAAAGGTGTTCGTGCACCTGATTTCCTCTAAGTGTTAATACTGCTGCTATCTATCGCAAGCGCGAAGCAATCTGCTTTGCAAAACAGGGCATTGTTCGCATTTATCCCTTAGCTAGCGAAAGCGTCAATCTCGCCCAATCCTCGTTACCTGCAAGCACAGAAACACTAAAAAGAAAAAGGCATTGTCGATCTAGAGTAATTTGGAAGGACAATACATAAGCAACACTCGTGGGTTAACAGGTTCACGATTTACAGTATTACTTTTAAGAAGACAAAAGTAATTACTCCGCTTTTGGCCCAAGAACAATTTCATCATCATAGTTGGTGGCGGTCTTGGAGACTGACATTTTGGTAGCACAAGCTCTGGTGGGACGGTTTCAATTAGTCCAAATCTCTCATGTAAAAGCATTCATAATTCAAAATATGTTATGAGTCTCACAGCCGGGAAAGTGAATATACATTATGAAAAGAATTAATACTAGCTGGTGACTCCTTGTTATGCCAAAGGAACACGAATAAGTCATGGCAAAGACCTGTTCAAGGTCATGATCCAAAGATCATGTGGAGGCTAAAAATACAGGGCTCCTAAATTGCAGAGCCGTTTGCACCAGCGGTCGCGCGACCGCGTCGCGCCCGGGCATTTTGCCGGCGCCGGCGCCATCGATCGAGGCGGCGCCATTGATGCTCGGGCGCGACGCGGTCGCGCGACCGCTGGTGCAAACGACTCTGCAATTTAGGAGCCCTGTAGAAAATTCCTGAGACTCCATTATGCATCGTCTTGGGTGTAAAATATGAACCTCGTTTCTCAAATTTGAGACTAAACATATGCTTGAAAATTCAGTGATTGTGACCAACCTGTACACCAGTGAAACCCATGGAATGTGTTACATAAAGTAGTAGCATCATCACGATCAAGATCTGAAGAAATTGGACATGAGTAGAAAGAATGAACCTATATACCTGCCTATATACGCTATATACCTACGTATAATCATGACTCGTAATTAGCCGTTAAAGGCAGTGTCCATGCAAAAAGTCAATTTCAAGATTTTGTGCATACCTGGGCCTATTCGCTATGCTGAATTTGAAAATCAACACTGGAGAGCGCGAAAACTGCGAAAAAAGGCTCTAACGGAGGAGGGAAATTGCAGGTGGGCGGGGCTGTTCACATAATGGCCACACTCTCCCAGCTTCAGGGGCGATCTTCTTGTTTCCGTTAGTCACCCTAACATCACCACCAGCCAACTGCGAAACGCATGACATAGAAATGGAACTGAGAAGATGGCCCCTAAAGCCTGGGAGAGTGACGTCACTGTGTGAACGGCCCCGCCCACCTGCAATTCCAACTTCCCTCCTCCGTTAGAGCCTTTTTTCCCCATTTCGCGCTTTACTGTGTTGATTTTCAGATTCAGCATAGCGAATAGACCCAGGTAAGCACAAAATCTCGAAATCAACTTTTTGCTTGGACACTGCCTTCAAGCTGTCGGCCTATGGGATTGGTTTGTTACGAGATAACAGTGAAAAATAATTTGCAATACTTTGCAGCATGTCAGGTTCTAATAGCGGATGTGGTTCATTTTCAGTTAGGACTCTCTCACTACAGCCAATTTCTTAGTGCACTTTACCACCGTTCCATGATATAAAGCTCTGGTACTACAGAAAGTAGCTAGCTTTAAGCGTTCACTTATCCCAATGGAGAGTGCTATCCTTATTTTGCGTACAGAACTGAAAAAATGATGAATGATCACTTTTCATCTCACTGAAACGATTACCTAGTAGTTACTAGGTCGTCGTGAAAGTAATGAGGCTTCCCATGCTACTACGACGGCGTCAACTCCAGAAAGTGAGACTGTACTGGATATAGCAAAGCAAGCTCCATAAGATATCACTGAGCATTTTCGTTAACCTCTTTGTCGTCAGTGACGACCAAGCGATCCAGAAACCAATGTAATTTGAGATATGTTTGTCAATTGTTTAGCCATTTTGTATCAAGCATCTGTTCATGTTATTATGTATTTGAGTTGCATATTTGCATATTTTAAGGTTCAATATCTATCTGATATCTCTCTGTAAGAAGGAACTCACACCGCCGTAAGATAATGCTTCCGTAAAGTGACTATATCTCGTAAAGACCTCAAGCTACAAGTTCAAGTACCTCGCTCAAGAAAAACTTTCGGAGTTTGATTAGGAAAATAAAATTTGTAGATTTGAAAGAATAGACTTGTTTGTGAACCATCTCCAACTACAATTTATAGTCTCGCCTGGCGAGCAAGTATGTCCTAGTTTAGGCAAAGAAGAAAAATCTTTTCTACACTCTTCGACTTTTTTCAAATCAAAATTCAAACATGTTGATCTCTTCAAGAGTGAACTTTTCGAGCGAGATAAAAATTACTAAGCATTTGAGCCATGGTGCTATAAACGCAGTTGCTAAAATTTTACCGAAGCTGAATATCAAGGAAAAAATCAATTGAAAAATCAAAGTGCTTCTTTTTTTCCGGTGTTTCTATGCACAGTCTCTTAGTTGTCGATTTCTAGACATACTGTAGGTTACAAGGATGTGATTTTTAGTCGCACTTTCAAAGATTTGTAGTTTACACCACGCGTGTCACAGGAAATTAGAGGTTATTTAGGCTCCTATTTTCCCTTGAGGTTCAGCCACTCAGAAAACAGCAAGGGTGTCAAAAGTCTGATGCATTCAGTATTGCGCGACCTGTCGCCAAGTCTGTTTCGTAGAGATTTTCTCGGGTAAAAGTATTTGGGGTATACGTTTTCAGAATTTGCTCTATGTAAGCATTAAGCGATTTACAGATCATGCAGATGTTTGGTGCCGTCTTATCGGGCTTGCTTTGCTCTGTTAAATAAAATCTCATATACTTTTTGGAAGTTTATCGGCGTGGCACAAGAGACGTTATCATTTTCGTTGACATCGTATCAAGCCCCTAAAAAGTTCGTTCCTCGCAAAACAAGGGAATGATGATGAGCCTACTGTCTTACCTTACAATTCCAGTGAAAAGCTGAACGCACACATTTGGCAATGCCAAAAACAGGAACGATGAGGCAAAGGGAGCCCGCCACTATTTGCACGCTCACTATGGACAAATAAACTCCATCCGTCTCAAACGTTGAGCAATTCATCCTTCCAAATTCTACGTATTCAGATGTCCTGCAAGCATGTCATGATTTTTTCTATTGTCACGAAACTCATAATATGAAGGACAAAGATGCGCATACACTGCAGTAACACAAACAGCTGTCAGCGTGCATGCCCGTACTAAAAGCGTATACATGCTAAAAACGAAGTCATAAAAGTGGGGTCAGTTTATTGCATTCAATCTTTGAATTCGTTCTACATTAGTCTCACAAAAAAGCCCAAGAATTTTGTTTTCAAAGCTGGCCAACCCGAAAACGAGAAGATATTGTTGCATTACTTACTTAGGTCATGTTTTCATATTTCTGTCATTGATTAAAAAGCACTCATTGCTACACCAGGACCCTCACGAGGCTAGGAGATAGACATGCGTGAAACGAATTCGTCTTTGCCGATTTCCATTTTCACGACATCTTATTTAATAGCGGACAAATACGGAACGCACGTGTACGATGTTCGGCGATGCTAGTCGCTTTTGCGGTCCTCAGATTTCGCCATAGAGCACGGCAAGGAGCACAAACTTGTTTTTTTGGCGGCGCTCAGTTCGAAGTCATTGTTTGGACTGAAATTGATCTCTTTTGTCAGCAGCGCCACTAACATCACGTATCGCTGGCAAACTCCCTTTGTTTTGATTTCATCTATAGCAGACTTTCGAATGTTAAAGATAGTGCTTATTTGACAATTCCACTACATCGTTCGAGTAGTAAGCTTCGCTTTTTTTGTATTATAGCAGGATGTCCGAATTTGAACTACACCTTGTGATAATGACATATCACACAAACCTAAAGGAGTTCAATTTGCGGCACTGAGGGGGGGAAGGGTCTATAGCTCGACAATTGGTCCACTAGCGGCAGATAAATAAAACAATTAGTTTTGTGGCCATTTCCCATCAAAGACTGCACATTAGCTTTTTTATAATGTCCATGCTTTTCACGCTTGTGTTGCTTTGCTCTATTAATCCGAAGCAATCTTCTCGCTTCCGAAGCGACATATTGGGCCGCGACTGACTTTGGCATTGGCTTGCCAGGGGGCCCTACTATCATTAGCTGCCAAAAGCTCATGACCCCCAACTTAGAGTGGAGAATGCCTTTGATGGCTCTGCCTCGCTGCAGTACGAAATGGAAATGTAGCGCGCTGCCAAATCCGAGGGCGCTGGCGCGCTCCTTGGGAAAGGATGGCTGCAAGGGCGGCTAGTATGCACTGCCGATCATCGTGCAATTGTACGTTTCGAATTCGTCGTGCCAGCTGCAAATTCAGGCCGTTCAATAGCAACTGCGCCTTTCTCCTCTAAGGACAAGCGTCGCTGCTATATCGGATCCACCCAAAAATGGTGAAGAAGACTTTTGACACCAAAGTTTTGATATACAGTTATTTTTGTACAGAACAGATTTATGTCAGAGTATGATCATGTGTACTGGATGTTTTGCCACCTTCAGGGTGGCATTAGAGTGGCATGTGCCATCCTAGTTTGGGAAAAAATTAGGCAAGCTTTTCAATCACATTAGTCTCTCAAATATTAGGTCGTTCCGAAAGTAATATCGCTTTTTTCGAATGAACGCCACTATTCGTGCAATCAACATTTTCAAAAGACCTTAGGAGCATTCGATGCAGCATTTCATTCTCTTTCTAAAGTTTTAATTTCACTGCATAATGTTCAATAAGCTCTCGAAAAATTACCAAAATCTGCGACTCATGCTTTTTGCCATGGTCAAGTTCGGCTGTTTTTTTAAATTTTTGTACCTAATCTCCGAAAGAGTACAAGTGGCAGGTAGATAGAGCAAACATTATGGAACACAGAGTAATTTTTTCTTTTTCTTAGCTTGCTTCTCAGAGTTTCTACGATCAATTTCTCAATGCCATCATATTCCATATTTAGTCAAGTCAAACCTCACAGAACAGCAACCGGCAAGCGACTCGGCTGTCATTCGATGCAGCTTTTTCTCCTCTTTCTAGCGGTTGTTTTTTGTTTCCGATTCATCAAGTTTCCCGGGATAAAATCATCATAATTCAACTTTTCCAAGGCACCCCAAGGTGTACCCGAAATTTTCGAAAGTTGCTAAACCGAAGCGATGAATGCTCGTTTTGTTTGTAAAATTGTTGCCAAACCATATTCCATCTTTCTAAGTTTCAAAATCCGAAGACTTGTTGGCGTTTGATGCACTTGTGTCTGAGACGAGCCTGTCAAAATTCGGTAGTTCCATCGAAAAACCTGTACAAAAATTATGACGAGTCTGGACAGTAGAAAAAAGTTGTGCTGTTTCCTGTAGGGCTTGCTCCGTCCATCCATTACTTGAACTCCTTCTGAGGTTAGTTAAATTGTGAAACTTGGCCATCTCAAAAAGCAGATATTAACTCTTTTCTGAAAGCTCATTGACTGTATTGCAACAACTTCATAACCATTAGAAAGAGAATGAAATGCTGCATCAAATGCTACCAGAAACTCTTACACATCTTTGTTCTAAGAGATGTGGCATACGTTTGAAAAAAGCGACATTACTTTCGGAACGACCTAATAATTGCATTTTTTGTCCGTGCTGCCCACTATTCATACACACCAAGTTTGGAGCCATATCGTTACCTGTGCTTTGCAAACGAGTGAGTTTTCCATTTTTCGTAATGGAAGATTTTCAGGTCTGCCGCAGCGTTCTACCCAATTTTTTTTACATGCATTGCACTATGCTTCCTAGCTCTGGTTGTTTTTACACCAAGTCCTCAATCATATGGTTATGTGTGCGCAATAAACAAGGCAGTCAAATTCTAACGAATGGCAAGGAATGGCATGATATTCGAAGATGATGCGCGAGCACGTGTAGCAAGCTGTCGAATTTGGGATATCCGCTTCTCTTTTTCCTATAAAATTAAGCTTACATTTCCACCCTCGTGCTGGACCTTGGACTACACGCACATCAGCAGAATACTGAACTTAGCAGCTGCTTTTTGGTATATTACCCGGAGATCCCTTTTTTAATCTATCGCATATCAATCTTATATATAAAGCTGAATGTCTGTCTGTCTGTACGTATGTGCGGAATAAAAATTTTTATTTCTGAACCGATCGGGACCAAACTTGGCACACATATACTTCGGGGCAGGGAGCGTGTCATAGGCTACTTTTCGTTATCAATCGATATCGATTTTATCGATTTTTTGCAAAATTTGAGCTAGGGGGCTGGGATTTTGCACAGGGGGGTAATCGAACATGCTGATCACCCCCACGGGGGTGATCAGCATGCTCGATTACCCCCCTGTGCAAAATCCCAGCCCCGTAGCTCAAAATTTGCAAAAAATCGGTGAAATCGACATCGATCGATAACAAAAAGTGGACTATGACACGCTCCCTGCCCCGAAGTGTATGTGTGCAAAGTTTGGCCCCGGGCGGAGCCGGGTATGCCATCTAGTCATTTCTAAAACTGAAACCGTAAGTGATTCTCCGAGGAGTATTTTTGGGAATAGCACAAAGGGCCGATTCTAAGTCTGCAATTTTCTGGTCTATTTGCAAAAATTCTCCTGGAAGTAGCAGTTTATGGCAAAAAGTCTGTAGAGGAAGTGTTGGAGGAGGGCGCTAAGTAGTCAAGATGCAGAGCTTTGCACTTGTCAATAATCTGTGTATGTGAGCAGCACCCTTTACTTGCTCCCGGATTCGTAATGATACATTTGATTCTAGCCGTTACGACTAATCCTAACTTTACCCTGACTTGGCAAGCGCTTCAAGAAAATGTCATAGAAACGCAATCCGTACGATGAACTTTAGAAATTTGATTTTGGCCATACATTCGAAGGTCCTACATCACTTTTTTTCAAACAAAGCTTTTTAACATTCAAAAAAACGGCTAATTTTATCTAGTATTAGAAAAGCCATTAACGGACAGCCGGTGATGAGAACTCATTACACAACGGACAGCCGGTGATGAGAGTTTATTACACACACACACACACACACACACACACACACACACACACACACACACACACACACACACACACACACACACACACACACACACACACACACACACACACACACACACACACACACACACACACACACACACACACACACACACACACACACACACACACACACACACACACACACACACACACACACACACACACACACACACACACACACACACACACACACACACACACACACACACACACACACACACACACACACACACACACACACACACACACACACACACACACACACACACACACACACACACACACACACACACACACACACACACACACACACACACACACACACACACACACACACACATGTGCACAGAACTGCTCCTTCACTCATTACATGTGGCTTTTCACTACTTCTTAATTTCTTTCTTGGGGGTAGAGGACTCTATGTCGCCTATGAGCTCCACCTGGCGCGAACAGGTAATGCAAATTTATATGCCTGCAACATGCTGGCTGAGTAGAATGGTGCAAGTGTCTGCGTGATTTCCTCCTTTCGGCGACATGTAGGCCTGTAGTAAACCCCCCTTCGGGGTATCTACCCTGAGGCGGACCTGAGTTGATCATGGGGCGGTCCTCAGTCCAGCATCTGGCGAGCCATTGATCTAGATGCGGATCGCTTTTCAGGCATAAAAACCTTGCGCGCCATCAAAGAGGAAACACCTCCACCTCTCGTGCAGGTTTTGTCAAACAGGTATGTGACTGGTACTCAGCCCGCAAGACCGTGGTTCGTCGCCGGATAGTGGCGAATTTTTGCGCATCACTGAGCAATCTTTGATAGCGGCCACTATCGAAGAAAATCGATGACGGCCGCTATCAAGGAATCCGCAAACCAAATGAATGCACAAAACAAAACTGCGTTTTTTTAACCAAATTCATTGAAAATTGAGGAAGTAGGGACAAAATCGAATGGAAATAAATAAATAGATTGTCGCTCTGAGTAGCTTTTGTAGAAAAAACCTAAGCAAACTCTGCAAAAAGGAAAAAACCTATTCTTTGTTTTTTT